TTCCATCTTCCTGAAGCCTCACAAGTCCCCTGCTTCCTGCTCCCCTGCTTGTTTGACTGCCTGTGGTGGCTCATTTTAGATCGAAAGCCTGGTGCACAAGACTACAAATGAGTGCACATCCCTATCCCTGTAGGCCACACGCTGTCCGGGCCCCCTGCATATGGGCTGGTCGATGGCATACACTCTGCTAATGTTGCCTGCTTGGCTGTCCTAATATTGTCACTTGGTAATCATTCATTCCAGCCCTGACTCTTTTACCTTCTGGCCCTGAAAAATATTGGAATTCCCTCCCTTGGCTTAGCAAAAGCCAAAGAGCAGCCCAATTTAGAATAAAATATTCTCCTTGGGAACATTTCATATCCTCTATCACGCATCTTCATGTGTCCACTGACGACTCTCTAGCTTAAAGTTGGATCGATTTGTCGATCTGTGAATGTCTCACAAAACAACTGAATAATTATCCTATTTAATTTACTGTTTAGCTCACCTGATTGCTGCACTGTTTCATTACTATTCACCTTGCATTTGTTTCTCTTCAAAATGCCTGTGTTGAATTTATTTACCAAAGGGAAATCAACCAAAAAAATAAAATCAGGTTTTGAAGATCACACAAGTTATCTAGGAGGACTGATAGATTATCTCTCCCATCTGCATTATGTCGGTTGGTATTCAGAAAAGCATCTGAGCAGCAGAATTGTATTTTCTTATAGCTTAATAATATTGTGTACCCTCAGACCTCAGAGTTCACCATCTGAGTGCAGTTTATTGCTCTTGAAAGTTTCAGAGAAGTTTTTTTTTTTTTTTTAATGATGGTTGATATGGTGTCTGACCTTGCTCTGCCTGAGAGCGTTGTATATCCAACTTTTACAACCTTTATGTGATAGTTGGCACTGTATGAATTTATGGTCTCTCTCCTGTTCTGACTCTTTTTCAAAGATGAGAGGTACCACAGCCTATACTAATGATGAGCCACATTTATAAGCCTGTTGTCAATGCAGGTGAGGTTTATCTAAGTGCCTACCACTGATTATATTACAGCGTTACATTATAGGTGTATGTCACTGTTTTTTTTGTTTTTTTTGTCATGGGCTATTTTCTTCCTGTATATTTTGTTTTGCTAATAAATCCTAAGATCTACTGGTCTATGGTGCCTGATAATATTATTCATATCCTTGAAATTTTTCCACATGTCACATAACCACAAGCTTTAATTTGTTTTATCCAGTTTTATTTTGGTGAGCTAGACCAACACAAAGTCAGTCAAAGGATCTTTGCAGTTCTCACAGATTTACAGTGGGCCTCTTGAATGTCAGTGTAGGGGGGATAGAGATAGATAGCCATATATTTTCAATAATAAATCAACGTTTTTTGAGATGTTCAAAGCTTGAGATTATTGATGTTATTTGCAGACCTTCATTTAATGTTCAGAGCTTTATTACAGACCTATTTGATGTGACACGTGGTCTTCATAATGCTGTTTGTTCCCTAAGGTTCCCTAAGTTTCCCAGACCTTCACAAAACAGCTGGTGTTTTAAATGGAGATTAAATTACACAGCTGGACTCTCTCTAACAGTGTGCGACTTCTAGGAGCAACTATTGGCATTGGATTTCATTTAAGATATGAGAGGAAATGTGCCAAGTACATAGTGTATGCAGAATATTTTTTTTTTTACTTTTGCAAAGCACTGCAGGCTACCAATGTAGCAGTCCCATTATTAGAACAGCCATAAGATTTTGAAATACGCAGCCTCTTCCTCTCCCTCGGTTTTCTTCCTCTATCTTCAGTCTCCCTCACTCTCATTGAGACCAATTAGACATACTTTATGGCATGCAGATTTTTTTTTTTTGTTTTTCTCACAACATCCTCTGCACGCACATGCCAGACCGAGAGGCCTGTGGGACACGTTGTAAACAAACAGTCACTTGGCTGGCGCCCTGGTGATTCAGATGAACATGAAGGAAGAATAGAATTTGTGAAAGGAAGAACATGAAGAGAAAAAGCAGCAAGAGGAATGAGTGGAGGCTGGAAGAGAAGGAGTAGGGACAAGGAGATGCATAAAAAGGATGTAATGGAGGAAATTCTAACTATAACGGAGAGAAACGGATGGGAGGAAAAGAAATGCGCAAGGAGGAAGTGAAAAGAAAGATGTGAAAAGAGAAGGCTGGGCAAAGATAGGGGTAATCCCTCTGGACCTCCCTCTTTTGCCTCTCAGCCCTTCTCCCTTTGACAATGGAAGTGACAGTGCCAAAAGCAAAATTCTGGTGTCATGTTTGACTATTTGCTTTTATTACTTATCTCCAGCTCCCTACTGCTGTGGATGTCTTTGCATCTGAATCAATTTTCCCTCAAGCTAATATTTTAGGGTTAAGCACAAAAATCGGAGACATTCGAGAGAGAACTCCAGATCTGTATGCAGATATGGGTGTGTATATATAGTGTGTGCTTGTGTGCGCGTGTGTGTATATGTGCAGAGGGAGGGATTGGGGTGGAGTTTAAGAACAACAGCTGTGTCTGCAGGGCCCTCATTTGTACTTTAACTGGATGTGTGACATCTCACTCTAATTTATCTTTGAAACATTTATAGGTTTTAAACCGGACAATGAAAAGGTGCATCACTTCCAACAGCCAAAGTAAACATCTTGGTTTACACTGTCCAATGTGGTCAAAATAGTCCCAGAATGAAAGTAGAGACGGTCAATTCATCTAGCAGTAGAGCAGGAGATCAAGGATGTGAAAATGGAAAAGGATTGTACAAGATTCTGGACATAAGCATATAAACCTAAGGAAAAATTTCCCACATTCTACTCAATTACTAATTTGTCAATTATTAACATGATCGTTTAAATTGTAATAAATATATTAAACAATCCCTATTTGTTAAAGTATTTATTTAAGCATATAAAAAAGCACTGTTCAAACGACCAAGCCAAGTGACCACAGCTGAAAACCCACCAAGACACCTAGACTGAAAAGCCCTGATCAGAGACACTTGATCCTTGGTAACTCTGGAGGAGCGGACGAGAGCCACAGCTCAGTGCAAATTGGTAGATGATTTTGACAGTAGTCTGACAATTTATACATCTTGGCTTCCCGGCAGACCTGTCACAAAAAAAGTCTATTTTGAAAGAAAGCTACAGATAGTCCTGGTTAGAGTAAGGCATGTAGTAGAGACACAGCAAAAACTGCTTTTGCTCTTACACTTATTGTGATACTCTGCTTAGACAAGACCATCACTGAACTATGTGAAAAGTATTGGCAAAAAAACCCATCACTGAACACCATATCAACCCTGGTGTGGGATTACTTTCATCAATAGGGACAGGGAAACTGGTCAGAGTTGATGTGAAGATGGATTGAGCCAATCCTGGAACAAAACTTCTAACATGTTGCTAACAACTTAAACGCCCCCTGGGAGACCTGTTCCCACTTTGTTGTGGTCAGTCACAGTTGCAACGTGTCAAAATGTGAAAAAGCGATGTGAATGTGGTTACTTTATTTACTTTTTTTGTACAAAATGGATTAAAACTGTTGCAAGATAATGATGAAATAGTGCAAAAATAACAAGGCAGTTTCACTTATTAACCCGTAGGAGTCGATTAGGAGCATGTTTCAGTTTCAAAAGATTATTACTGAAACTGAAACATGCTAATAATATGCTAGCTCTAGCCTAAAAAAAGCTACAAAGAATGTAATAATAGACTTAGGATAGAATAAACTCACATCTTGGAATTTCTGCTAAAATACAATCTTGCTGTCTGTGTGACAACAATACGTAAACTCACTCTTGAAGAATTAGATCCCCTTTCTTCCACTCTGTTTTCAGACTAATGATACCACGACTAAAATGTTAATTACAGCTAAAAAGAGAGATGATTGTGGAGATGAAGTAGCAATTAGCATGTATCATAGTCACCATCATTACCGCCATTAGCTGCCGTAGAAATATGGAAAATTATTTACCAAATAGTGAAATGCTCATCATTTGCTTATTCAGAGCACGAAATGTTTCAGTGGCAGTGCCAGAGACAAAAAAGCGTTCCTCCCTAAATGTGCATAATTGATGTCACTTAAAAAATTAACTATTGCCAGGCTTTGAGCAGGATATAAAAAAAAGCAAATACTGAGCTCACTGGAAAGTAGGACTTATTCAGTCAGAAAGACAGGAATAAGCATGTGAACTTACTGAGAGCCTATCATCAGCACAGAGATACTGACACTTTATTAAACACAAGTATCAACCATAACACATTTACATGTTCTTTCCACTTGAATGCTCTGAAATGTTCCCTCTTTTTTTCTTCCCCTCCGTTACTTTGCTGATGACATTTAAAACCTTCCTAAATTGCCTGTTCCATACCTGAGCAGAGCCTGAGAGATTCTGCTCATATTCCCAAGATGAGGCTATTACCGTCCTCTCAATCCATGGCTGAACAAAATGCCCCCTCCATTTTGTCCTAATCTGACTAATGTACTAAAACGTAAAGGTCAATTCACATCTACACCACCCTGAGGAGGTATTTTTTAGTCTTGCTATATCTATCTATCTATATATATATATATATATATATATATATATACACACACACACACAATTACATTCAATAAATTAGAATATGTGTTTGATGAGGCTAATTTGTCAGATTAAAGGTATATTTTGAAAATTGACAACATTGAATCAGGTATTTAACAGACCTTTCATCAAAGCTAAATCAAACATTTTATATTATATATATATATATATATATATATATATATATATATATATATATATATATATATATATATATATATATTTGGTCTGATGTAATGTTTTGATGACATGTTTTCAATACTGTAAGAAGAAAATGATCATAACATAAAGGCTTTCAAACATTCATCTGTGTAAGTAATACATATATAATGTGCTTAATCCTCATTATTAAGCAATTTCAGACTGAAAGCCAGTATAGTGAAGATAAAATTCAATTGCTGAGCCAGTTACATTCATTGTCTTGCTTACCTTGTTGTACAAAGGACCCATACACAAACCACATGGAATTGTACAGTGTGGTTGAAGACACTGATCCCATGGGCAGCCGCGGTGGGTTGAGCCAGTTGAGCAAGTACACCAGGATGCCAATGAGGAGCACAGTGCCTGCAATGCACGCCCACAGCGACAGGTCGAAGGGTGCCAGGCAGGCAAACATGTCCACTGTGCGCTCGGCCTTGCGCAGCAGAACGCCCACGGAATAATCCATGTAGCGTGTGGTGAAGTCTACAACACTCTCCCGCTCAGGCGTGATGGTCAGAGCGGAGAGTCCAACATCAGCTCGCTGCGAGAGGCAGAGAAAGAAGAGGAGTGAGAGGTTTGTTCAGGACTATTATACCAAAAGACTAAGCATTGATTTGAGGAGCGACCCTTTGCTCATTTTTTTTAAATCATAATTTTAATTACCTTGTCAGATTTTACAGCTTTCTCAGTTTTAGGCTGTTTATTAATAATTCCCTTTATTAATAAATAATCAGCAACACAAACATTTCTACTTCGACACCTTCACATACGTCATCAGAGTACACAACTAATGTTTTCCATAGTGTTGCTAAGTGCAACGCTTAGAAAAAAAAATCAAAACATAGACTTTTTCTTTCAGAATAACTTTTTACCAATACACATCGTTTGATATCCGACATATGGGTTTATGATTCATGTGTCATTAGGTTTGTTGGCTTTTTTAACCCAAATTTTGTATTTTTGCTGCTGAAATGTAAGTTACATTGCTTTAATCAAGCATTACATTGGATTGTGTTAATATGTAAATAAAGGTATATATAAATTAATTTAAGATAGCATTAGTGCTTACCTGCTAGTCAGAGGTTAGTTCTAGCTACTGCATGCTCAACATCCACACTTTGACCAAAGAATTTAAAGCAAATATAGAAGCAAAAATGAACGTTGTCTATTTTGTTGAATTTAAACTCGTTGTCTAAATTCAGTGTTTCATTAATAAATAGTTTTAGACATTACGAGGATGTTTTTGCATCATTCATTCTGGCTTACAATGGGGAGCAGTTAGTTGCACAAATGCCCTGGAGCTAGATGGCCCTCAGTCAGTAATGAATGTGAAGATGAATAAAAAAATAATTTTAAAAAAGTATAATGAAAAAACTACTGGCAATAAGTAAAGCATAATGGGGAATATTAACAGTGAATACACTTAAGATGTAGCCTTACCAAAGCACCTCAAAATGAGTTTTTCATTAGATGTTTGGTGTGTTATCACTAATCGTTTATTGAGTTGGACTAGATGGAGGAGATGAGCGGAAGCAGAGGAAATCAAAAGAGTGGACCCTGAAAACCTGCAGAAGTGTCAGCACAGGAATGGCCTCAACAGACAATTTAGCAAATAAATGTGGTGTATGTCATTTACTCCTTGCCGTCGAGAATAAAATTTCAAGTTAACCGAAAATCAATGGCTTTAAAAGTTAAAAACATATAAGCTAGGCTAGGCTAGGACTCCAACATCTGCTCAGCTACTCGTGTTTTATTTTTATTAGCTTACTCTCTTTTTATTCTGTGTAACTGGGATAAATTCCATTTTGAAATAGATATGTTTGTTGATTAAAGTGCTTCTGTCCCCAGAGCTTTAAAACAACTGAAGATGTCTGCTTAAGGAAGTAAAATGCAGCTGTGAGGTTCTGCTTGTTTTGAAAATCCACAAATAAAATCTGATCATGACAAAGAAAATTATTACCTAAAACAACAACGTCATTTAGTCGCTTGAAGCAACTCATCTTTAGATCGCAGACTAATTTTGTAAAACTATATTGTGAAACATTATTTTTAAGAGCCACTGCAGTCTAACATCCTGTCCCCACAGCCTTTTCCTTTCACACGCAAAAACTTAATAGAAACAAAAACACTTATCTACCTCATGCTAATTTCATACTTCAGTAGTTGAGGAAGAAGACAAAACGCTTAAGTTTGCAAAATGTGTCCTTTCTACTGCATAAACAGAACATCTGAAGAAACCCTGCAGGACGCCTGTTGGTAGAAACAGCACAACAGCATCCATACAAACTGTGTGCTTGTTTTAGTAAGCATGAAATCCCATGCAGATGCATGTGGTCAGCGCACATACAAACTTACAGAAAGAACTGTGGGTAATAATTATCTAATATAATTAGGTTTTGAAGAGATAAACAGTGCTGCTGACTGATGGGGAAAACAAAATTACGTGCACGTTGAGTTTATTTACATCTTGCGCTTGCATGCATGCACATAAATATGGATTGTGCTCAAAGGCTTTCTCTATAATTTTCTGAGGTGCAGTGAAGAAGGGCATGACGAATTTTTAGCACCGACAAGCATTCAAGGTTAAGAGAACGAGAACTTAGTTTCGACAATTGCTTAAACCTGAAACACAGTAAAAAGGAATATATTAATGTAGAGTAAGGCCAAATTTATGTCGATCCATTGACAATGTCAGTCCTGCACAGCAACTTAACAAAAGTCTGCAAGAGTGGATGAGAACATAATAGGAAAACCAAACCCTTCATGCATTTTTTTTATTATTCTGTGTCAATAAAACATGTTTTACTTATTTTTGACAATGTACTAATGCTCCAAGTATGGTTTGTTTCATCCAAGGTAATAGTGTTTAGTTTCAACAATTAAAACTACTTACCAGACGTATAGAATTGAACTGAACTTTTTATGTTTCTCAGATCATCTTGGATGTAGTTAATTTAGAACATTTTGTATTATTAAGACTGATTTCAATCATGATTCATGGATATTAGAGTAATCTACGGATTGTGGGTTTGATTTTGCTCTTTTCTTTTTTGTCACGTTTTTATTTTCTTAGCTCTCCTGAATTATGTTCTATTGATGTGTTTTCATTTTCAATGTTTTGCTGCATGTTTTTTCAGCTGGTTTTACTTAATGCACTTCCCAAACCTCATGTCTGGGAAGAGCATCTATCCGCCTGCCTGTCTATTCTGTTCCACACAATGACTTGATCACATAAATTCCCAATAGCATAAGATGTCCCATTACTGAAGGGATATCAGTGTGTTTGCTGTACATCTGAAAACTATACGTGTTATTGATAAGTATATAAGTGTGAAGAAGCACACTTGTGAAGAAGTGTGATGAAGCATGATTGATTTAATCATTAAAATTCTTATTATTATTATTGTTTTTTTGGCTATGATTTTCACCTCACCTTAAAAACCAGTTCCCCCATGAGTCCATTCCACTGGCCGTCGGACTGCAAGCTCCCATATTTGTGGTCTGGAGCCACATAGATCTCGTACTTAAAGCCCAGGTAGTTGGACAGCGCATCCAAGACGTCGATTGAAAAGCCTTGGTACTTCTTTGGTTTCCCAAGCACATTCTCTGACACCATCACAAATGGCTCCTCCTGGAAGGCAACAATCAATCAATTACTCAAAAAGTAAATCAAGAACTTTGTAACCACACTAATGATTTCAGTGGTAAATTACACATTACTCAAATCTATTCACTCTGAAAGCCTTTTGAAAGAAATTGTGTAAGAAAATATTGAAGTCTTCAAAGGAAGAAATCAAGAAAATAAAATATTTTAGTGGTTACATTAGATGGACAAGACGCAATATGTGAGTAAACTTAGACCATGAGTTCTTTCTTTACATATTATATTTATATTCTGTTCAGTGGATTGAGTTTTTCCACCACTCTTCTTTTTCTTTAATAAATCTCTATTGATGAGTGAAATGTTGAATGCCTGTACAGTGTGTCCTGAGATTTATGAGAGCCAGTGTGTTATTGACTGAGTATCTACTGCACACATTCTCACACACACATTTACACATAGGCACAAGATATCCCAGATATTCGCTCTGTGGTTTCTAATCCTCGCTAGCTGTGGCAGTTCAATAAGCTATTAGGCAGTGAGTGGACATGCATGCCAAAGCTCTTTCTCGCCAAAAGTATCCATCTATCAATGTAGGAACACCCCTCAACACACACAAGTGTGGCCCCCAAGTAACCTCAAAGGTGCCATAGAATGCTGCCTTTGGTTTCAAAGCAAAAAATGTTGCCACCATTAAAATACTTAATAATTCTAAATAATATCTTAGGAAATTAAGTAAATTAAAATGAATACCCACAGGAAAATCTTCACAGGTTATCAAACAAAAAAGGGTTTATTTCATAATTCATAATTAGACATGTTTGCAAATTAATATTTATTTATTTATTTATTTATTTATTTATTTATTTTTAAAAATTGACGTTGGGTAGCTATGTACAGTCATTCCAACTGAACACTCCTCTAATAATCTCTACAACATGCACTACAATCCAAAAGTTTGGAAGAAAAAATCACTAAAAAGATCAAAGTTGTAATGGCATAATTTCCAACGATCTACACGTTGTCACTGTAAAGTCACTTATCAGAAATCATCTTTACTATAATTATTGGGTTTTGGGTTTTCTTGCTCAGCCAGACTTCAATTTAATAGAGAATCAGTGGAAGGAGTTCAAGATTAGGATGATGGCAAAGAGGCATTCCAGGATCAGGGACTCGGTGCTCCCAGCCAAAGATTAATCATCGAAATAGCAGAGGAAACACAAGAAAAAAATGGTCAAAAATTATGATAAGGGTTTGGGTCTTGCACTTATTATTAGGAAATACGTGATTCGTGTTTAATAGATATTTTTTTTTTAGTGGTGAGACCTGATTAAAAAATTTTTTATCAAGTTAATTGCAGGGTTAATTGTATTTTCATCAACACCACATACTGACAAAATAAGCAGCATTTTCAATTCAAAAAGCCTTTTTGCTATTAAATTATTAAATAAGCAGACGAATGAGTTCAACATTTGTCAGTTTTAATCTGCCATCAGATTGGTGCAAAGTGCTATCGCCCATTAAGTGTTCAAGTGTTTCAGGAAGCTCTGATCATACTTGTAGCTTCTTTGAAAAAAAAAAAAAATACTTGTTTTGAAACACATTTTGCATTGAGATGGCATTTTAGGCTTGAAAAGCCTTGGTAATAAGATGACTCCTTTTTGCATAATTTGCACACCACAATAGTCTTTTTCCCATCGTCTCATCAGATTTAAATTATAATCCCAAATGGGCCCCAAAAAAAACAACAGCTTTGTCATGCATTACTGTTTATGTGTGTTTCTTGTGCATCAGATTTAAAGGTGTTACAAAAACACAACACAAAGATTAGTTCTAGACTACTGTGTGTAAAAAAAAAAAAACACAAATGGGATTAACTGCATTTTAAAAAATGTTCACATCAAAATCTGTGCAATTCAGAAATCAAAATTAACATGTTAAAGTTCCAGTCCTTTTTTTTTTTTGTTATAAAATCTCAGTAGAACAGATTGTGTTGTCATTATTTGATAATCCTTTAACAGCGTACAATTGTCCTTTGAGAGATTCCAATCTCATTTGCTATCAGAAACTTCTTGGTTGAATGAAAAGTAATTTTAAATTTAAATTTGCCTGAGATATAAATAATTTTGGGCTAAATTGCATACGACATGTAAACCGATTCATCTTTATCCTTTAACTCTTAAGTTGTGGCTCCTGCGAATCCTATCAACCATGAAACTAAATCTTTCTCTTCTTTCATAGCATTTATTCAGACATGGTCTAGTAATTTCAGTGTAGCCAAAGGTAAATTGAGAAAAGTAGTAAAAATCAATTAAAACAATCCTTTTAATCATTTAGAAAATATATCCCAAAATTCATAATAGTCATAGTGGTTTAAAAGGAAGGCATTATGGTACAAAACCTTGACGTTGCATCCAAGCACGTACCCTTCAGTTAGAGGCAGCTGTTAGAGGGTTGCCTCTCACAGTAAGTTAGAGGCAACCCTTGGATGAAACAAAACAATGTAAATAAAACCAAACTGCATATTGAAGACAAAATGTTCTAGCACTGTTTGAAACTGTTCTTTCACTGGTTTTTCTTAGTAACATTGAAGGTTGCCAAGACAGACTTGTATTCAGGTGTGCCGTAACAATAGTTGACAGCCCCCCCCCCCCCCCCTCTCTGGGGCTTATTGACAACAAAATGGACTTTTTCTAACATCTGAAAGGATGAATGCACCTGCAGCACCTTCTGTGTTTTTTTTTTTTTTTGTTAGCTTTTCAAGTCTAGGATTGTGAAAACAATTAATTTCTCTGCAACTATCAGGCAAAACTACTTTTCAAAAAGACACAAACTCTATAAGCAGTATTTATGCTACTTTAATATTTGACACATATTGTTACATTGCAAACACACCTTATTGAGTGACTGCATAGCTTGCAGTCAGTTGCAATGATTTTTTTTTAGGGAAATTATGCTCAATTGGGCTGAAAAAAAGGATTCAGGATGGAGTTTTTTGAGTTCTTATTTCATTTGAAGACAAAAGTTCAAAATCATCTCTTTCCATCGCAAAGATGAACGTCTGTGTGTTTGTTTATAACATAATATTCTAATAAAATAGATTGTGATTGTAATGGTAAAAAAAAAAAAATATCAGGGCTATAAATAGCTTTGCTTTATAGATCACTTAATTATTTGTGCTTTTTAGCACAAATTTCCTGCAATAACTTCCTGTTGCATTGTGTGTATGGAAGAGGGATTAAAATGACAGAGTGGAGACTCTGTCATCGCTTTAATGACAGATAATATGAAATGGTTGGATAGATGGTCTACGTATTTCAGAAGCTGCTGATCTGCTGGGCTCTACTCATACGTTTGAGATCAGAAACTGCTCATCTACTCATGCACAGCCATCGCTTTAATTTACAGAAGATGATCAGAAAAAAATGAAAATGTTCAGTGAGTGGCCGGTGTGTGAATAAGGATGCCTTGTTGATGCAAGAGGTCAGAGGAAGACGAGGAGACTGGCTCGAGATGACAGAAAGGCAACAGCTGCTCAATTAACCGAACAGAGGGACGCAGAATATCACCTCTGAACGGACAACATATCAAACTGTTAAGCAGATGGGCTACAGCAGCAGAAGACAACACGGGATGCCACCCCGTCAGCTAGATAGCAAAGAACTGAAGCATAAAGATTGGACGGTAACAGATAGCAAAATCTGTTGCCTGATCTGATGAACGTTGATTTCAACTGCACCATTTAGACGATAGTCAGAAATTAGGTAAAAACAACCATGAGGCATTGTTCCATCTGTGCCAATGGTTTAGGCACAGATGGGACATCTTTGTCTAAACTGTGGTAGTGTGAAGAATATGTTCTTGGCACAGAAAGTTCCACCTTAATATAGTTTACACAACACACCATGCCAGACTATTATCGTTGACTGTGCCCATCCCTTTAGGACCACACTGCACTCATCTCTTGATGTTTACATCCAACAGGATACCGCACCATGGGCCTGATCTACTAAAGGTTTGATTGTAAAAAAAAAAAAAAAAACAGGGGAAAACTTCACATCACACCTGATCTACAAACAACATAGATCAGGTTTGCAAACAAGATTGTGTAGTCAAATAAGGAGAGTCGCAGGTGCAATAAATTTAGACATTTGATTTAGTAATTTGATGCCCTGAAACTGGCCTCTGTTGCCATTTTAACGATGATTCAGAGCGTTTTACTGAGAAGTAGCTTGTATGATGAGCTCAGCAGACGCCCAGTTCCACCAGCTGTTTGCTAACCGTTGCTGCCGCTAGTCTGGTGAAGCTGTGTGGGGGAGGTGCGGAGGAGGAGTGCTCTGTTGGGCAGTAGCTTGGTCGAGGACTACAGCTCTAAGGAAGAGCTTTGGGTAAATAGATGGTGTTTTGTCAGAGCAAGCGCTAAGGCACCCCTGCACGCCTATCACAGGAGATTCAACGTGAATGAAAGAATCAAAGCAACACTGCATGTGTTTTTGATGACGGAATAACATTATAGCATGATTTAAAGCTAAAGTCAATTTTACATAAGACCCAACTTTTATTGTTTTCCACAACAATGCTGGTGACACTAATTTGTAACACTAATGGGCGCTTTATGTTACCACTTGTGACTTTATTAAACAGTATTCTGTAATTTCTTTCTACCATATTTGCTTTTCTCTTCCTGATATGGTGCCCATCTCAAATTTCCGTCCACACTCATCACTTTCCTCTGCACTAATTTCTTTGGCACAGCAACATTCTGTCTCCTCTTGAATGGGTGTACCACATGTTGTCTCATTGCTGCCTCTGTGCTTCTAGAGGGAAGGACCAGGGGAAAGAACTCCAATTTCCCACAAAAACAAAGTAATGACATTTCAAAAGCCCATGGAGGGGATGCTGGGACTGACAGAGTCATGGTGATTTCACAAAACGGTGAACAATTTCAAAACACTGTGGCTTTGTCTGTCAAACTGATTTTAAAGAAAATTCCTAAAAAAAAAAAAAACTCCCTGGCAGTCTCTGCATAAGATTGTATTTTATATTGTTACAGAAAATGAAATTTCCTTCTGTCATTCTTTCCAAGAGATGAAAAATGTGATTCTAAAAACAAAGGCCTGTGTAGTGGCTCTAATGCAAAGTCTTCAAGGTTCTATATTGCTCAATATGTGGGACTTTAATCTTTAGCATCTCAGCAAGAGATGAAAGGCTTTCAGAAACTGGACATAAACACAGTCCTTTCGTGCACTTTTGCATAAGATACTTTGTAAAGATTTCAGAGAGTCAGTTTCTGATTGAAAACATCCATTGAATGAAACAATATCTGGTACAATGATTTGTCTTTTCATAGATGTACATAAAACCAAGACACATAATTATAGGGTTTGTACTGTCTTGTAGTGGTTTTTGTTCCAAAAGTACAGAAGTTTCAAAACTGACTTTTTGAAAATAAATAAATAATAACAAAATATGTTGCTCCCTTACTAGTTCTGGAATGGTAAGCTATTTCAAATAATAGTCTAAAGTGGCTGAAAAAGATTTTATTTAACGCGTATAAACAAAATAACTAATGAGACAAATGCACTTATGCATTAAAGTGATGCTTAGAAAAAAATGAGATTGTGTTCTATCTTTTGTTCTGACATCTCAGACCAGCTAATTTATGACATGAATGCAACCATTTTATTAATTATTGAACATTATGTTGGTAGTGTTTTAGGTTGTAGGCAAAAAAACAAGAAAACTTGATTTCACACAAAGAAATGAATGCATCTAATATTTTGTAGCATGCATGATCAAATGCAGAAATTCTCATTAAAAACAATGAAACAGTAATTTGGTTTAGTATCCAACATATTTGCATTTAACATTGCTGCAAACTGTTTTCATCACTCCATTGTCTTTTTTTTCTGATCAAAATTGTGCCACACAAATCATTCAATGTGAGAGAGGCTTGTAAAAGCAGAAAGTTGTTGGCCAGCCTGACATCGTCTTCATTAACTGATAACTTAAAAGAGCTACTTCCTTTAATACTTGGAAAAAATAAGGCTAAGAGTAACAGACTAGCATTCTGAGAGCCAGACTTGACTTTGATTAGAGCTAAGACCATGAGATTTCATGCCATGAGATCTTGTTACACCAGTAGTAGCTTTGGTTGTTGCATTCGCCATTGTCTCCTGAGCTTTCAGTAAAATCTCAGGTTAGTTCAGAGAAAACATTCCATAAGACTTACTTCACCATAGCTGAAGAGAAGAAACCATAAAATATTACAGCAGCAAATTGAGAAAACCACTATTTATTTGAGGTCTCAAGCTAAATTAAAAAAAACAATTAGAGAAAAAAAAAGAAGCAATTATTTAAACTCTAATAAAGATTCCCAACAAGATGTGGCCTGATAAATTAACTCATGTTCCTTTTTGAAACACAGTTATAGCAAGGTTCCTTTGAGTTCGCAGTTGTGGTATATTTCGGTCACTTGTGTAAATGGGGTCATTCAACTGAGGGTTGAGAAAGACCCCGCAAATTATTACTGCGACACAGCCTTTCCTGTTAAATACTGATTTATTAATACAGGCTATAATCAATAGCACTGATTTAAAGTCAACGGCTCTAATAGGTCTATGATCTACTTAGCGATTAACTGCTCAATAACTATTCAACACTGTGTGATGATGGAAAGACTGAATCTGTTGTTGTAAGAGTCTGTCTGTGTGTGTGTGTGTGTGTGTGTGCGTGTATGTGTGTGTGTGTGTGTGTGCATGTGTGTGTGTAGGCGTGTGTGCATATAAATACAAGCTCCCAACAGTTTTCATCTGTGTTTCAGCACAATAAACAAATATTGATGGTCCAACTAAGAAATGCTTGTGCCCCACAGTATTGTTAGAGAAAAAGCAAATTCAGGGGCAAAACCGAAAGAAATAGGTTTCATAAACCCTATAGGAAAACTATTACAGACACGCACACTGACGCATACACACACGGAAGATCAGAACGCACAGCCTCCAACCATTCACAGATGAAAAGAGCTCAGTACATCCAAGCAGTACCCAGGACATTTCACATGGTTTCTGTCTCACACACACATACACACATAATGTCTTTCTATCTACACAGAGACTTTGCATTGACTTCCATTCATTTTTCATTAATTTCCATATCCAAACCCTGACTCTAAGCTCTAAACCCTAAACCTAACCTAAACTCAATTCACACCATATTCCTAAACTTAACCCTTAACCAAAAAGAAAACAGAACTTGTTATTATTATTATTACACAAAAACTCACACACACTTACTCAACCTGAGCATCAAAACATAAAACATGAAGGCTGGACCAGAAGTGCAGTACAGAATTTAAATGAGCACAGTCTACTTTTTTGTTGTCACTTTATACTATCACCCTACTTAAGAGACAATACTCAAAAAGCACAGTCCATATCTTTTCTCCCTTTAAAGATTATGAAGATCAAAGACTTCAAAATAAACCAAAAGGGAAAAAAGGAGTAGCAAAGATGTCTAGAATTTATTTCCCCCTCTGTTTCCGAATTAAATGACAGGATATGAAAAATTCACAACAGAAAAACTGTAAAGCACTCATAGGATGTAGTCAAATCGATCCTACAGGTGAAACAGAATAGGTAATAAACAGGACGCCCACTATCATCAGGACTCCAATGGTCTCAGTCAATTTGCTGTTAGATAGCCAAATGGAGTACAATGACAAGTATTAGTATTAATACTGTGTTTTCTCACTATATCCGTATTTCCCCTATGTCCTTGTTTCATTTTCCTTTTCCTATATAAGGACTTAAGATATCTCTTGCTGGATCTCTGCAGACACAGTGTTGGTGGATGGAGAGAGACAGACAACAAACTAAAAATGGAATATTTGACATGAAAATAGGGTTAAAACAGGCTATTTTCACACCTATTAACTGGTGAAACCGATCTTCTGTATGTGCGCATGTGTAGATTTGAGTGTTGGGGAGTCCAAAATAAAATAAGACATAGATGCGTTGGTTATTGACTCACCAGAACAGTGACAACTCGTAGCACGACTCCCCTCATGTTGTTTTCCAATTTCCTGTCAGTCAAAGTGCCATTCAGCCCATGAACCGGGTCCCATGTGGCGAGCTGCAAAGTACACCCAAAAAGAGGAACATTAAATCTGAAAAGCCAAAAACATGATGACATTTTAGTTTTGATCTACATGGGCAAGTTTTCCACAGTCAAAGCAGTAGGTTGACTTAAATTTCTCAACATGTAGAGGGGTATATTTTGGACACTTAATATATTGAATTTAAACACATTTGACTTATACGCTGCACCCAAATGACACCGATAACATTCATATTTCAACTCAACCAAAATAATCCCAATTAATTGTGGCAGTTAGTTATTAAATATGAAACAGTATGCAGGATGGTGCTCAAACCTGTAGAGATCTTGAAATGTCTTTATAGCTCTGTGGTTTCAGTAAATAGTGCCTACAGCTTTACAATCCTTTACGCACTGATTTGCAATGACATTGGGTGTACATAGTTGTTGAGTTGTGCTTTTGCCATGGTTTGTGAGTGAGTATATCCTAAGGGTTATGCAGGAGTGAACACAATCCGGTAACCAAAATGAGGGTTTGGGGCCCATCTACAAATAGAAACCACTGGTAAAATTCCCGGCAGGTGTTTTAATAGTTTTCTGCGAATGTCTTTTGTGAATTTGTATACTGTATATTTTTATATAAAATGCACCAAATTTCCTTCCGAAAAAAAAAAAAAAAAAAAAAAAAAATCAGAGGAATCATAAAGTAATTAGTCAAGAACATGGGAGAAATAGTTAAATGTAAAGGTTAGTAAATGAGCCTAAACATTAGAGGAATGTGGTAAAGAACAACATTGGTGAACTGAGTTCAAATGTTTGTTTTGCAAATCAACATTTATTTTCTTTTTATGTGAAGAATTTCTAAAACTTATTTGTTCCACCAAATGATATAAATTCTAAGCAATTACGTTAAATCAAAAACATTATTTTAATCAGATAATTAAAAAAATATTTTTATCTGAAAAGTCAAATTATTCCTATCAGAGATGCACTTTTGATAATCGGATTTCAGAAAAAAAAAAAGAAAAAAAAGTTCAGATTTTCTGGAACTCAAAAGGTGCTGCAAGGCTCTGACCCAGACTTCGATGTCTATCAAATTGCATCATAAACGTCCAGTCTTTTCCCCAGGACCACATTATATAATCTCTGTACTGCCTTATGCTTTCAATAAAATATTATTTTTAGCTTCAAAGATCAAAGTAGGCTGGCTTCCCTGTGGACAGAGAACCAGTAGGAAAGAAATAAGTGATTTAGCTGTCTGCTACCCAAAGACAAACACACAGCTACATAAACACACTAGGAAGCACACACAGAATTAAACAGCTTGGTTTCTGCTTAAGACACACACGCACAAACTGGGGGAAGGAAATGTCAGATAATCCATTTTTCAAAAGGTTAAAGTTACTGTTGGTTGTAAGATTTAAGTCATTTTTTTATCAATTCCCTTTTGGGACAGATACTTATGGTAATACTTATCTGAACTGGTTTCTTTTATGAAGCTCTATTTGGTTAACATTTTATTGAATTTCTGAAGCATTTTCCCAAGAAAAGAATGTAACAATGGATACGTGGTCCCCTAACAAGAATATGTTGGTAGATGTGGAGCTGGAACAAAAGCCTAAATCAAAATTAATCAAAAGCCTAAATATTGGCAGTACAGCAGTTGACCAGTGTGCCACTGAGAGAAGGAAATTGCATTTTATTTGCATCCTAATGGGAGATTTTGCAAAGTCTACAATTTATGTATTTTATCAAAGCACACTGTGAAGCGTGTCATGAGAAATGATTACCATCGTTTCTTTTCGACTAATCAAAAATAGTATTTGTGAAACACTTGGATAATCAAAAGGAAACCAACTACTTGGTCTAAGAACAAACGCTGCACCCCCACCTACTTTAGAAAATTGTAGATCTATTTTTGCTAAGCCTCTCATTCAGGTAAATGTTCCACATACTTTGCTTTGTAGGTTTTATTTTTTTTATTTCACACATTCAGTAGTTTTAATATTTTTGTAACTAATGATTCTCATTTGCAGTGGCCTTGATGTTTTAAAAATGAAACAGAATGCTCTCTTGACATAAAACTCTTGTTATGTAGGGAGGGTCTTTGGTGCAAAGAGCTGCTATATTTAATCACTTATGTGAACAGCAGCCTATATGTTGCTTATTTAAAGGCTAAAACAATGAAACCAGTTGCTTGAAGCAAAATGAAACTAGGTCAGATAGCATGGGTCTTGTGCTACATGTTTATTACTGGAAAAATAAAAAGACATGTTCTCTCAAACTATATAACATGTATGACATCGATGAAAATGTGTACCAAAAACTTTACATCACATGCTATCTTAGTTTCAGCCTCGAGGTGGAGATGTGGAGCCTGCATGAAAGCCTGAGCTCTGGCACATTTTATAAAATAGAAGAGTTTTTTGTAATCTTGCTGGGCCAACATACATTTAATCTGAATGAAGACCAAACTCTTGGAATTCTTCTGAACACTTTGCCAGTGTCACTGCAGCCCTTCATCATTTTGTAAAAATGTAAGAATGTGTCCTACTTCTCACTCATATGTTGTGTGGCAGTCCAGTTGTACATGCATATCTGTATCTGATTCCTAAAACTTGCATATCAGGAAAACCAGTTTACCCTAGAAGGCTAAACGGATATTAAGAAGCAAGATGGTAAAGTAACTCAAGGTAAGAAAAAGATGAATGGCAGCTGGGTAATTTATTAGAAAAACAAGATAGTGATGGAAGGGTGAGACCAGACTTTAGTTGCTGATGCAAGTGATTTAAATGTGTATATAATTAATTATGTAGGACACAATACAATAAAATATATCAGACAGTGTTGACATAAAGTAGCTGATATACAGCACACCAAAAACACAGACACTTTGTCATTTATTCATTTTATCTGATGAAAGCAAACCGGTTGTGAGAGGACGTGTCCTGAACTGTGACAGGGAAAGTGTTTTCCTAATGAAAAACAAAGGTGAAATGGATGGATAAATCATTTATAACAAATGCAGTTTTAAGTTTCAGAAAGTAGAATTTACCTTGGAATAGTGTTTTTTTTTTTATTTAGGGCCAAACCCCTAAATGAAAAGCAAAGAACACTCAAATGGAAATAAGTAAACCTTTGCAAAATACACTTTCAACTGCGCACTCTAATACTGTTAGACAAAGAGCTGCTGAGCTCTGCTGAGCTCAAACCCCTTTATTAAAAAGTCAGGATGATTGAAATGAGAAATATTAACAACAATGAATAGCAAGCAAAAACCAAACAAAGCAGTTTTATTATATAGATGTTTGACTTTAACATCTATATAACAAATGTCTTATAAATATAACTGTCTTTAAAGGCTAGACAGTCTTCTGTTGTGATCGGGAGTTACCTAAAATTGATCCTTATGCACTGTGATTGTAAAATGAGATTTCCCTAGATACTTTATTGATCATTTAGATGGATTGTAAGACAAACGTAAAAAAAATATATATATATGTTAAATTGACATCCTAGATGTTTTGATGTTTTGCATTTAAATTGTGAGTATTTCATAGTGATTGAATAAAAATATTGACTGGCCATAAATTTGTTTTTCTAATTTCTAAAAGTGAGCTTTTCCTTCAAAAAAAAATTATATATATACATACATTTAATGTTTTTATCTTTTTTAATCTTTCTCAAAATGTCTTTCTTTTTCTCACTGTTTAGTCAATGTCACATGCTGTTTTTATTTTAATTATATAAAGCACTTTGCTGCTGAAATGTGCTATACAAATAAAATTTGATAGTAAATTTTGATATATATATATATAGCATATGTGTTATTTTTTGCACTGATACTGGGTCATTTCCCCTTTGTAGGACAATAAAGGCTGTTTCTATTTCATTATATTCTATAAATTATAAATATTTCTTTACTTCTTATTTTGGCTTATTTACGGTTAGCTGAGAAATACCTGGTAAAACACTTAATGCTATTGTCATTTATTTTTGACAGAAGCATTTCCTTAATCATAACAGTGAGAGAGTGCTGTCTTCATTTCCTCTCTGCTATCCAAGTGGAAGACAAAGAGAAAAGTCAGTGAAGTAAATTACAAAAAGTTATATTTAGATAAAATTGAATTTATCTTCATGTTCACATTTTTTGCTTTAATGTAACACAAAATAGTGCTTGTTCGTGGTCAAATAAGTAAGGACCTCTATCGGCAGCCTGACTGCCAGTGCCTGAGTGGCCCAATGCCTCCGCTTGTCTTCATAGCTGCGGATGAAAGGCTCATTCCTCCCTCAGACATTGAAATAAACCTGCATTTGCAACCTATGTACAGACTGAAAGTTGAAGAGACTGCAACAGTACCTTTCTGGTCTTCTCAGACAATAAATAATAAAAATAATGGCGAGGGAGGAATCCTGTGTTTACATTTCATCAAGTCACAAAGTCATCTTTCGGTGACCTAGAGTTCTTGTTACAGTACCGTATGTCTGCCGCTTGTTTCAACAGCACATGAAGGTACAGCTGTAAATAGGCATTTTACACTATTGCATGCACAGTTTGATCCTCAGCTGAGACAGGCTGCTTGGATATTTGGAACATGTCAAAAAAATTACACAGCTGAGCTCAGCCATATCTACCGCACATATTTTCAGCACTCCTGCAACTCAAAAGTTTCAACAATGGTCCAGAAATTACATAATATTAACATCACACTGTATTATGCAGATGTTGTGTTTACATTTTCAAAGATTTACTCACCTCAGCTTACTGAATGCTTGAACTATTTGGACCTTATTTCTGATTAACTCATGTAATTATTCCTTGGTTACTTGATACAGACTGTAGAGCAGTGGTCTCAAACTGCATTCCTCTAGGGTCACAGCCCTGCATCTTTTTGATGTCTCCCTGCTTCAGCACACCTGGCTCCAATATAAACTCATTAGTAGAGCTCTGTGGAGCTTCACTGCATGCTAGTGAGGCAGTTTTGCTATTTAATTTAAGTGAGTAGGACAAGGGATACATCTAAAAGTTGCATGAC